GGTGGGCTGAGCTGGCCACACACACACACACACACACACACACACACACACACACACAATAAATAAATAAATGTTTAAAAAAAAAAAAAAAAGAAATACTGCCCAGGTCAGGGTTTTTCAAGCTTTCTTGACCTGAGCTCTCACTCAGTTAGAAATAGATCTATATATACTTCTGGGTGGAAGAAAATGGCCTTCATTCTAATAAAAAAAAAGGAGCAAAATAATTAAAAGTATACCAAAGTGTAGAAATCCATTGAGCTATGACATTTTATTTTCCAATAATACCAATTTTAGAGGAAAGAAATGTGATATTTTGATTAAAAACTTAGAGAAAACTTAGTTTGGGTCAATTGGTCAATCTCAAAATGTGAAGATTTTATTTAGGTCTAGGATGTTGCTCAGTAGTACAGCACTTGCCTCGCATGTGAGAGGCCCTGAGTTCAGTCATTGCACCACAATAATAAATAACCCACTGTGTTGATTTGTTCCCAGGAACATTATCAGTAAAGTAATTAGTAAGCTGGTGAATTATTCTCATTAAAATAAAATTTACAAAATAGGAAAAAATGGCAGCCTTGGTCTGAGGATATAGTGTAGTAATATAGTATTGCTTTTCATGGACAAGACTGAGTTGGATCCTAGCACTGAAAAAATAAAACAAAATTGAGGAACTATAAAAAAAAAGAAATAAAAGCTAGGGATAGAGGAGTCATTTGGTTAGAACATATAATGATATAGTTTAATTCTATCTGAAAATCTTCAGTAATATAGATTGCATTCTTTTCTCAATGAATGACAACTATAATTCATTTTTACTTTTTCCTAATATTGGGCTATAAGCTCTCCCACCACAAGAGGAAATGTAATCACCATCTATGTGAACATTCCTCAAATGTTTGAAGAACATGATTGTGATCTAGATTCACTGCCACCTAGATTCAGCGTAACTGGCCTGTGGCGTATTCTTCGTATGCTGTCATTTTAGAGCCCCTCACCAGTATGATATGAGATTGGCGTGCAGCTCCTACTGATTGTAGGCTGTACCATTGCTTTTTCTTCACATGCTGTTTCTTCTTTGTCAAGTTATACCAGTCAGGGTGATTTATCAGCTTCTCACAAATTCTTCTGTAAAATTAAAATCTATAACTAAGAACTTTGAATCTTTTATTTTATGAAAATATAAAACAAAATTTCATAATCAGATAAGAAAATAACAGTAGTTATTACACTGTGTATCATTATCTTCAAAGTAGTTACTCAGAGTACAAGAAATAAGCCAAAAAGATTCTTACAAATCTTACAAATTCTCACATATTTTAAAGACTATATCTATAAAGTCTTTCAAATGTGTAATACACATGCTTTTAGGTTTCCTGCAAGGGATTTCTTTTAAAGATTATGTTCCTAAGAAGTTCGCTTCCAAATGAAACAGTCTGCCTATTTCTTGGAAAATAAGTTTGCTTTAAGATGCAGAGTATTATGTTTTCTCAGCATATTAAACAAATGCATTTTTATTTTTGTGTTTTCAGATAGTGGCCAGAACAGTAGTGCCAGTAGTAAAGGTGAACGACTAAGTGCCAAACTCAGAGCTTTACCTGGGACAAATGAACCTTATGAAAGTAGCAGTAACAAAGAAATAGGCAAGTGCTGGTACTCCCCACACAGTTCCTACAGGCATAGCAGGTCTGATGAAGACTGGTGAGATGGCAAATGTATAATTGGGAATTATTAAAAATTTGGTATATACAGAGAAAACTTACAATGATATGGGAGAGCATTTCTGTTCACTCTGAGTTCACTTTTGATTATAAGACTACTTGGTTTCATGTTTCTTTCATTTTTCTCTCTTGCTCTAATAACACAACCTATTTTGATACCTAGATGCATCCTATGTGGATCCACTTGGCCCTCAAATAGAGAGACCAAAAACTGCAGCCAGAAAAAGAATCGACGAGGATGATTTTGCTGATGAAGAATTGGGAGATGACTTGCTTCCAGAATAATACACACTTTTTGTGTTATCTTTTGAAAGAAATTGCCTTACAAGATAATACTTACAATAAACTTTGGATTAAATATCCATGCTTTACCTTTGTACACTATTAAAACTTTATGTGTATGGGCCAGGGATGTAGCTCAGCAGCATAAGTGCCTGTCTGGCAAGCACAAGGCCCTGAATTTGATCCCTGAAAAACTTTATATGTATTCTGTTCTATGAGTGTGGCTTTATGTTGTTGTTTTTGTGGAATAAAAATACGTGAAACTATTGCTTTAAACCAGTGACTTCCACAGGAAAACATAAATGTTGTAGAACAATGTGGTATCTATACATATGTATATAAGTATGTTTTAGAGTTTATAAGTCTTTGGAAGCTTTGTCTCATGGAGAATACAGTGTTATAAAAAATGTAAAGTATAATGAGAGAAAATACCAAACCATAACCCTGCACTCTTGCCTATAGTTCCTTTCTGCCTTCAGCCCAGTGGTGTGCAACGGTAGCACAGAGCAATAACTTCAGCAGTGTGCTCTTATCAGAGACGGCATGTGGAGTGGAGGGCATGATTGCTTGCAGTTTTCTTTAGCAGTGTTTCTGGCTCATCTAGTCTGTCCAGAATTACAGTGATGGGGCTCACCTTTTTTTTTTTTCAGAACCAGAGATTGAACTCAGGCCCTTGCGCTTGCCAGGCACTTATCTCCATGGCCCTGGGGCTCACCTTTAACACTACACTAGAACGAAAAGTTTCCCTTGCCTTTTTTTTTTCTTTGCTTGTGGGGGTTGTTGTTGTTGTTGTTGTTGTTGTTTTTAATTTGAAATGAGCTTGTGCTGTGTTGCCCAAACTGGGTCTGAAACTTGTAGCCTCAAGTGACTCTCCCACCTCATCCTGTTGAGTAGCTGAGACTAGATGGATATTCATACCCAGTCCCTCTGTCTTATCTACCATTGTCTCTTCTATGTGCATGCTATTAGATACAGCAGGAAAAAAAATTAAACCACATTCCTTGATCCCAAGACAAGTTAAGATCTAATGGAGGAGGTATCAATTGTTACAACTTGTTTTAGACGTGTCCCCAAAGCTTCATGCCTTCATTGGTGGGGCTTTTCAGAGGTGGCTAATCTAAAGGATATAATGCTGGGATCAAGGGTGCGTGAATACTAAATTAGTCCACTGATTGGTTTGGTATAGTTCTGGGAGTGGATAATGGGAAGGCTTTCCCTGGCTGTAAGCACTACCCACCATCCAGGAGCTGCTGGAGTTGCTTGTTGCTTGTTGCTTGCTTTTTCACTCTGCTGCTTGCTGCCTTCTGCAGGCCATGAACAGCTTCCTCTCTGCCATGCCACCTTGCCTTGTAGCCAGCCAAGTATGTACTGAAACCTCCATAAACTATGATCCAATTAATATTCCTGTAATTCCTTTAATTTTCAATGTCAGGTATTTTGTCTCAGCAACAAGTAATGACACCAACTAATACTTTAAACATCTAGTATGTACAGAGAACTATTCATAATTCTGAAGATACAGAGAACAAGACAAAACAAGATCCTGCCTTCAAGGAGCTTAAATTATAGTATAGAAGAAAGACTATAAAAAACATTTTAAGGAATTTTAAATAGTAAGTACAGTTAACAAAATAAAATAGTGGGGCTGGGAAGATGGCGCAGAGGAATAAGTGCTTCCCTGGCAAGCGCAAAGGCCTGAGTTCAATCCCTGGTTCTGCAAATAAATAAATAAATAAAATAAAATAAAGTAACACAGGAGGGAGTGACTGTGTATGGGAAAGGACTCTAAGAAACATTTGGGGGGTTTTTGTTGTTCTTTTGTTTTTTGTTTTTTGGGGTTTTGTTTTTGTTTTGTTTTTTTGGTCCAGTACCAGGGATTGAACTCAGAGAAACATTTGTATTAATACTAGAATGATAAGAAGAAAAAAGTATTCTAGACAGAAGGAATAGCAAGTGTCAACACCTTGAAAATAAATCTGGATTGAATTAGAGTGACAGTTTAAGGGCTTGGAAGCCATCTGGGTCAGTGGTAGACTGTACATACAGGGAGGTGAAGGGAGATGAGATCCAAAAGGTAGATAGGGGCCAGAGCATTTGTATCACTTCAAGTTATAGTAGGGAAGCTTTTTGAAGGTGTTATGTAAGGGTTTGAGTGATATGCCGTCATTTAATCTTTAGAAGCCAGCACTAACACTGGCTGCTATGAAAGTAAACTGAGGTGAGTGGGTAGGTGGGATGCAAAGGAAGGGTGCAAAGGAAGGATTAAAAGTACTAGTAGTAGCCTGAGTGAGAAATGAAAGTAACTGAGATCATACTTTTAGTAATGGAATTGTGAAAAGTGGTCAGTTCAGCATATAATTAGATGGAGAGCTGAATAGACTTAATAATGTGTTGTAAAAGAAGAAAGGGCATAATCATGCCTAACTTTGTGGTTGAGAACATGAGTGATTAGTGTTAGGAGTATATTTGGGAGAAATCATTCATGTAACTGTTAAATTCAAGATGTCACTTAATGAGCCTTTCAATTGGAGATACAAAGAGTGCAGTTAGGTTTATGAATTTGGAAGTCAATATGGTAAGGATAAGAGACAGACTTGGGATCCATCCGTATATAGATAGTGTTTAACATCATGAAATGGAGTAAGATCACTTGGCTCTTATGAATGATAGAGAAGTGAAGAACTCTAAACAATGAGAGTACATTCGGGAGATGGGACCTAACAAGAAACTGAGAATAGCAACAAATAGCGTAGGAGGTCTCAAAACTTGAGTAAAACTTCCAGTTACAGGGAACTGGGGTGATGGCCATTAGAAATTTATTAAATCACCCATAGTTGGATAGTCCTTTGGGAAAAATTGCTGCTAGGGGGAAGAATTAACATCATGGAACGGAATAAGATCACTTAGCTCTTAAGAATGATAGAGAAGTAAAGAACACTTCTCTCCACAAACACACAATTACTTCAGGCATGTGATATTTTATAAATCTATGTGAAGAGGGATCTAAATTAAAAAGGGTCAGGTGACTCACTTTCCATCTTTCACAGCTAAAGAGACAAATGTGTTTGGCTCTGATGTAAAAACCTGCAGAGCTGGGGAGATAGTTCAGTGGTCTAACTCCCCCTAGTTATGATAACTATGATTAGTATGTTAAGTACAATAGAAAAAAAGATTGAAAAAAATGGGTGAAAACATGACAAATTTCAGCAGAGTATTGCACTATAACGAAAAGAGATGTGTAACCTAGAACTGAAAATACAGTACTGAAATCAACTTAGGTTGATTGAACAGTGGATCAGGCACAGAAGTCAAGTTTAGTGAATAGGGAAAGTATATAAACTGAAGCACAAAGGAAAATAAGAATGTAAAACCAAATGATAAGGAGACTTGGGACATGGTTGAGCTTAAGTGAATATAACAGGAATCCTGGTAGGACAGGAAATAAAGAATGGTGTAGAAATAAACTTTGAAGAAACAAGCTTCTTGAGTTTTCTCAGATTAATGAAAGATATTATCTTAGTTGTTTGGGAAAAATACCTAACACCCACATTTTAAGTGAGTAGAGGTTTATTCTGGCTCACAGTTTCAATTCATGATCCATAGGCCCCATGGAAGAAATGACATAGTGAAAGAGCGTGTTTGAAAAACCTGCTCCCCCATAGTGGCACAGTTGCAGACAGTAAAAGGAGAAACTGGAAAGGGATATATACTTCCAGGTCATGCCCTCAGTGACCCACTTCCCCACATGCTTCACCTCCTAAAAGCACATTCAATGTGAGCTCTCTAATGGTTTAATCCACTGATGAGTATAGCATGCCCGTGATCAAATCACCTTCCAAAATTCCCACCTTCCAGCATTTAAGACTTGGGGGACATGTAAAATTCTGCCCCTGGCTTCCCAGAACTCATGTCTACCTCCTTATATAAAATTCATTTAGTCCATCTATAAGAGTCATCAAGGTTTTTAATAGTTCCAGCATTGTTGAAAAGTCCAAGTCAAAATTCTTTGAGACTCAAGGCAAACTCTTTTTTTTTTTTTTTTACTTTTTTGTGGTACCAGGGATCGAACTCAGATCCTTGTGTTTGCCGGTCAAGTGCTTATCCCACTGAGCCATCTCCCCAGCCCTCTAGGCAAACTCTTAATGTGAGCTCCTATAAAAATCAAAAAGAAAAACATTTCCAAAATATTGTGCTAAACATTTCCATTCCAAAAGGGGGAAATAAGATAGAAGTGAAAGGTACCACAGTAAGACTGAAACCCAACAGGACAAACATTAAATCATATACTGCAGGTCCAGCACCTGGGGCAAGTTATGGAAAAATCTGAGCCTCAAAGGGCTTGTGTAGCTTTTGGCATAGCTTTGCTTTACTGCCTGTGGTTTTCCTCAGCAGATATTTCATATTTCTGATATTTACAAATTACTGAGATCTTCACTGTGCTTTCAACTTTATGCTCACAGTTTCATGCATCACCCTCTCAGGTCTTTCTCTGAAATATTAGTGGAATCTTCCATAATCCCATAAATCTTGCCTTGTACATGCCTGAAAAATCAGAACCAAGCAGAAGATGCTAAGTTTAAATTGAGAAATAGCCAGATCCCTTTGTCTCATGGCTTCAGAGGCCTCTGAGTGCCTGGATGATTAAAACTGGAGACACATTTCCCCAATGGACCTTCTTAAGCAGTGGCACTTCTTAAACTCTCTTCTCTAATGAAAACTCCAGTTTTTTACTCTTGAGCCTGCAAAGATTAGGATACTGCTGATTCCTGGAGTATGTTCAAGCCCACTTCTCTATTAGCCTGATCTAAAATACTTGGTTTCTTTTTAATGCTAATTTTTTCAGCAATCATGCTTTCCTTTGCCCTAAGTTTGCAGGCATCTCCTTTCTGATGAAATTGAAATTTTCCAAATCATTTATCTCTGCTTTTTGCTCCTAAAAGCAGCAATCAATACCCATACCATAATCTAAATTTTCAGCTCCTTTGAAATTTCCTCCACCAAATTAATTAATCCATGGTCTTTAACATTAGTTTCCCCCAAAGTCTCAGGACACGAGTAAAATGTGTACAAATTGCCTACTACAGTGTAATACAGATGACATCCAGTCCAGTTGTCAGTGGAATCCTTGTTCCCAGTTTAAACCTCCTGAGCCTAGCCTTTATTGTCTGCATTCTTTTCCAGCTATGAACTCATCAATGAATTTACAAATATAATGCCCTCATGATCCAATCACCATCTAAAATTCTACCTCTGGAGACATGAGA